ACAACCACAAACACTTTGCCCTACTTCACTTATGTAATCACATTCAGAAATAGCTTTATGGCTTATGTGACAAAACCAATTCTTCAGAAAGCCATATTAACAAATATTTTCTGTGTTTGCTAATCATAATCTACCAAACAAGCAAAAAACTTCAAGATTATATTCTCTATACAACTGTGTATTTCCACTTAATTCAAAGATTCCTGTTCTTTGTAAGAAGTCTGGTATAACGCCTTCAGTCTATGCATGACAGCGTTAAAATTTTCACAGCAATGTTAACTTAATCTTGATGGTTTCTCTGTAAATTTGTATGAGCATATGTATGCACACTAAACACATTTAGAAAGACAAAGACTGAAGTATGAGCACAACACACAGGCAACACTTGGGGGCTGTGGGAACCCTAACTTGAATATTTTCTAATTTAAAATGTATTTTTGAATATAACTCCTTTAAATGACCAGTCCAAATACATGCAGTCAGGCTGCACAGTTCCCAGCCAGAGACTGTTGCATTAGCCTGGAAACACAACTCTTGTGGCTTCCGTGGGCAGGGAAGCAGCCGTCAGTAATGATAGCCCAGCACTGATAATGCAGCAATATGCATTTGTTCTGACAGACTGCTACTTTTATTTTACACCTTTTTCTGTGTGTGCACATACATCCATAGTCACATGCATTCAAGAAACGTCAAAGAAAACCTGCCCATGATTAACTTCAAAGCAGCCCCATGAAATGCATTCCTTCCTCTGTTGCATTTTCTGCTGTAAGGAGACGTACATAAACAGAAGAACTGCCCATATTTCTTAATGAAGTGAAGTCTGTAAGAAGTTAGTATCTTCAGCACATCAGTCAGGAAAAAAATGATACACTCTGTTCACAAAAAACTTTTTTCAGATCTATAACAGAGGCAAGAAACATAAGGTTAATTACAGTTTGAAAATAATTGCTCTAAGTTTCATTTATGTTAGCTGGTTAGACAACTTAAGACAAACCTGAACCTTTGGAGTAGAGGTAATAAAAGACATTAACTGTATCAGCATTGTTTGGTTTCATCTGTAGGCCATCATGGCTACAGCAACCCTATACTACTAATTTCTTATTACATACCACAACTTCTTTTGGATAGCAATGAATCTGAAAAAAAAAAATCAGTATGAAAAATCGCTGACTAAATTCAACCATCTACAAACAATACTGGACTCTCCTGTTAGCTTGCAGTATCCCATTGCTTCCTAACTTCACTCTGAAGCATTTTGTTCTGGAGTCAGTACCTTACTCATTAACATCATGCCTTGAAAGTGTAATGGTGGTGCCTTCCTAGCCCCATTACTTCCCTCTGCTAAAGAAAACCATATGGTGAAAAACTCATTTCAGGGACCAAGCAATGATCCCCCAATTGTCAACTATACAGCTGAGGATGTATTAAAAGCATAAAAGTACAATACTACCTTTTCAATTTGAAACATTATTCTTGCATTAGCAATTTTCATTTCCAAAACCTGCTTTTGACACAGTCCTCAGAAAATTGAACAAAAGAAAAATTTGATCTACAGATTATTACATCATTCTGAAAAAAGTCATCACATCCACGCTTTGTAGATCTAATGAAACATGCATGTAGCTCAATAAAGTTGAAGACTCAGATAGTCCAGTGGCAGATTTACGTACTGCCATAAAAGAATGATGTTAACTGTTGGTAAGGTCCACAGGGCAGTAAATAACCGTTCTGCTCATTTCTAGATAACGCAGATTGAATGGTTTTGTATGTGGGAGCAGATGCAGGCCCCTTACTTTTTTCTTCCCTTGTTCTTTATTATGTTGCACTTAGAAAAGGTGTTGCCTCTACCGAAAGCCCTCTTCCAATTTTCAGTTTTCTAGACTACTGCTTTCAGTTGCTATCTGACTGAGAAATCCTAACACTTTCCATCCCCACTCATTTTATTCTAATCCAAGTTCAGAGTTGCCCTCTCAGAGTAAAAATTCTTCATGGATTTACTGTGTATAGCTTCTGAGATAACCACACCTCGCCTACTCTGTTCATCAGCCCTATTGCCCTCTAAACATACGTA